AGTAGGGTTGCACTTTCAGACAAAAAAGCGGGGGGGGGGGGAATAGATTGGTCACATGGGTTGCCAGAGGGTGGGCCAAAAGGGTGGGTTGGCCCATGCTGTACTCCTCCTGATTGGCTCAGGGGTTAGTCCCAATGAGGAAACCACAGCGCACAATAGAGCAAGGGCAGTCAGCACCAAGGACAGCTCCCTAGTGAGCATTTTGCTCTAAGAGTGTCTGGGACAGGACTGGGACCTTTTATGCCTGGAGGTCTAGATCATTCATTGGGATGTTGGCCTTAAAGAGGCAGGCCTCTAGCTTACAGCCTAGCACTTCCTCCTCCTCTCTGTCGATTCCCTCCAGGTTTATTACTGGTGTTGATTTGCAGACATGGTGGGTGTGGGTCTCAATTCTGGGGGTGAGGTATTCATGCTCTGCTCATGCTTTCCAATCCTTAGATGATATGTCTTCAACCCTTATCCCAGAGAGGGCTGTGTGCATGTGCCTGTTGTCTTTGTGGGTCTGGGGTGCTATGTGGGCACCGTGTTGTATGTCTTCTCTTGCCTTGCTTTTTCATCTTGTTCTCTACAACAGTGGTTGTGAAGAGCCCAAGGGCCATCACAATACCTGGGGACTGACAGCACTGGGATTGTTGCTAGCTGTGCAACTGGGGCTGAGGGAGTACTCTGGCATCACTGTGCTGTGTGTGTGTGTGTGTGTGTGTGTGTGTGTGGAGATGCAGGGGTTCTGCAGAGGACATCTCCCAATTGTCACGAACTCATTGGCTGACTCCATGGGTGGATGGCATGTGTCTGTCTGTCATTTTCTCACTGTTTTTGTATTATGTTTCCATTGATTTTAATTGTTCCCCTTCCTGGCTTGGGAATGTACAGCAGTCTTCCTCAATGTGATGCCCTCCAGATGTTTTGGGCATCATCACTACCCAAAAAGAGGCCTCTGCTGCCTAGGGCTTGTGGGGATTCTAGTCCAAAACATCTGTAAGGCCACAGTTGGAGGCTGATGTATAGAATTCAGGAACCATTTTGCCAGTATATGGCAGTGATCTCTGGACCTGGAGTACAAGATTCTTTGCCTCATCTCATAGATTTAAACACTTATTTAAATCTCTCCCATTGAAACTAATTTGATTTTAAAATGTTTTACATCACCCAAATTAATACAAATCTCCTGACTCGGTTAAAGAGAGCCTTGAGAATGTGAAGGCAGTGCCTCTGAAGCCAAGGCTGGGGCTCAGTAGGATTTCCAGTACACCTTTCATTCTTCCAAATGGTTGTCTGAAACAGGATACATTATGAAAACTAAGCACATACATGTACATTTTTTTAGTGACACCTGTAGTTAAATGATGTAATTTATTGACATTATTTAGACTGATTATAACTGAGCAGTTCTTCATTCAGAATTTGGGTTACTTTTCTGCTAGGTGTTGATTTAAGAAAACAATAATTGTGCAGCGTATAGACAACAGTGCCCAATCATTTATTGACATAAAAGTAACTTGCAGTCTTGTTGAAACTAGCATAACTAAGACTGAACAAAGATGGACAGCACCTATGTGATCCAAGACATACCATAGGAATATGAGCCACTATTGAAATGCTACTCATCTAGATGATCCCAGGAGCACCTTTTTTTTTGCCTTAAAAAGCCAGTGGGCATCACCCTGGCAAAGAAGTCCAATTGATTTCAATGAGAGAGTTTTTAGCACTTTCTTAAATCTTTTTCAGTGGAACTTAAAATATAAGTTTAGATAGTTATTGAACAATTATTTAATAAACAAGACCTGCATAGTGGCTCTCAGGAACAGATATAGGGCCAATCTAAGCAACACAAATGAAAGTTGAACGGATGCTTCAACATGGCTCCATTTATGCATCCAAAACCAACCTGGGAATACAACTGTGATTGGCTAAGTGCCATGGTGCAGAGTTCAACCAATCAATGTGCTCCACTCAGCTGATACCAAACCCGCACCCACCCCCTATTCAGTGGGCCTGTCAGCGGCAAGGATCGTAATGAAACAAGCAAGGCTTGATTTATGCACTGGAGTCTCTGCTCTGCCTCATTCCAGCAGAGCTGAAGTGCCGGATTTCCTGTACTGGGCCCCATCATGGTGTGAGATTCTGCCAAAGTGCGAGTGAGATGTGCGGTGGGGAGTGTATCAGGGGTGGTATTGTCTACACGCAAATGCTCAACTTTATGTACTTTTAACTAGAGGTGTAACAGATGGTTCCGTTTCAGTCCAAGCAGTGGAGAACCGTGCCCATTCTGCCTGTAGCCAATCAATCCAGCCACTCTGGGGGAAAACTGCAAGCTGGGCTTGGAAGTCTGGCTGCCAGCAATCCAGAGGAAAAGCTTTTACACAGGCTAATGTGGTCGGCTGCCATGTGAAACTGGGGAAACGAGGAGGATGGGATTAAAAATACATCAACACAAACAACCTCATGCTGGGCTTCGGTCAGGAATAATGGCTGGAAAGAGAGGGGAGAGCAGGCACAATTTGGAAAATTAAAAAATGTGCTTTGGCCTGTACCATTAACACCCGATCATTTTAAACTGGCAGGCATAAGGGGAAGGGAAATTAACTACTTTATGAGAAGAGAGCTGCCAATAGAGGAGTAAAAATTTGATGTTGCACAAAATGGCTGTAGCAGGTTGTCTTGGCCTTTTAAATGCTTAAGCATCTGCACAGGGCTGCTGGAGCCAGCCTTCCCTGTGAATTGGCAGAGCGAAACAGGGCCCTCCCCTCCACATCTCTTTGTCTGCCTGTCTGCAAGATCATAACTTTTTGGAACTGGGTCAAATCCATTCAGATCTTTCAGCAGATGCCCTGAGCATCAATGGGTAGATCTCTCTACCCCACCCCTCTCGATTTGGGGGAAGCTTATTCTTTTTCTTCTTTATAAATGCTGCACCAATGAAATGTTTTCATCAGCATGACTTGTGAGTTTTAAATTGCATGAAAAACCTATGGAGGACTGGACAGTCTTGATGCAGATGGAGTTGGTGGAGGAAGGCAAGTACCAATGAGCCAGAAATTATTAAAGGTTTATATGGGCTTTCCAGGTTCTGACCCACTAGCAGAACACCAAGAGATTGATTGCCTGGGATTTAAAAAATGGAGAAGAGGGATTTATCACCAGGCTTCAAAGGCCCTAGTAGTTAACTGGTAGGAAGGAAGGAAGAGGCCAGTCTATTTCTACCCCATGCAAATTTTGCATGTGCTCATTCATAAGTCTATCTTATCCTGGTTTTGCAATTCATTTTTTAAATCTCTGCATAAAAATGCCAGTTTAATTATGTATTTTATTTCAATTTACACATTTCTAAATGTATTTTATCCTAAAATAAATGAATTTTATTTTATTCTAAAATCAATGAATTCTGGTAAAAAAAATTGAGCCAAAAAGTGTATTGCAAAATTCAACAAAGAGCAAAATCCAAAGGATAGTTATTGGCTGCTCTGCACATTAGCCCAGATCTGGTCAGTTCATACTGGAATTCATAGAAACTGAATTTCTCACCAAGCCCTGTGGCTAGACTGCATTTGGCTTGGTGGGTCATGAATTGAACATGTGACATGGTCAGGCTCAGTTGTCGGAGGCCACATCTAGTTTCAGAGTTGAGTTGCTTGAGCTGGAAGCTGAGGCCAGCAGCATGCAGAAGGCCTCTCAGTAACATGACTCTCAAGCAATCAGTGTCAAAGTTTATGCCTCTTGCTATGTGATCTTTAATATGTAATTGACACAGCACCCCACATTCTCATGATCATGCCAACAGCCTTAAATCAGTCACTTATGGGGCTATATAAATCCTCCTATCTGAGTTTAAGTGAAGAATGCATAGCTTCAAACTTATCAACTGAAACTTGATTTCCCCTATACCATCTGCATTGTTAGCAAACTAGAAAATATTAAAATACTTCTTTGCATCTGTCCTCTGCCACATGAAGAATCAGCGCTGCATGATGAAGTCGCCCATCTTTCTTACCTGGTCCACTCTTAGTACAAATCAAATAGTCCTTACCGGTTCTCTGCAACATTTCCTGGAGTTTTGTTTTGTTTTGCATCATAGTTTCACTTTCAGTTTGCAAAGTCTGTAGCGTGGAACAAACAAACTTTACTTAACCCAGCAATTCTTACTACAACAATTGTGCAACTTGCAGCTGCCCTGGGTTTCATTCCTCTGCTAGAGTTCCCCCATGCACAGGGCACTTACGCCTGCAACACTTTGATTCCTACTATCATTACAGGGCTGCTTTTGCAGTCTAACCTAATCATTTAACTACCCTTCCTTTTTATATTTGTCTGTTGTCATCACTGGTTCTTGCCGGATATGATAAAGAGTTAGGCAGGTCTGATATAATATTCCCTGGAATTGCTGGAATATGTTAAGAGATGATGTAACCCATAAGTGAGTCATTTCCCCCTCCCATCTCCGTGGAAGCAACCTGCACTGCCTGTTGCCACACAGACCCAGCGCCAGCATCCTTAGCTAGGGCCCTGGACACCAGCAGAGCTCAATACAGGTGTTTGCCCTGGGGTGCCCTTTAAACAACTTGCTTTCCAGAACTGTGCTTCAGTTAGTGCCTGGCAGTTGGGTCTTGGAACCACCACTTGCATTTCCCAAAATGCCTCTGAAGCAGTGTCACTCTGGGGAATTATGGGAAATTAAAAAGGCAATTCAGAGACCCAGCTGCCCAACACTGTTTGCTGCAATGCTGCAACCTGATGTTGCAGCTCCATCAGGTAAACCCACCAGAGGGGTCACTGACACAGGAGGGAGCCAACCAGAAAGCATGTTGCTCAAATCTGGAACTGTCCCTGTTGATGGAGGTGGAATCCCTGTTGTCACTACATGGGGAAACAACTGCATTCTTATGTCTCCATATATCAACCACAACTTGTATGTAATGAAAACTTGATATAAAAATTCACATATCATACCTATGGTATGTCATAGAATCCTCCTATCATCTAGTTCCAACCTCCTATGCAGCTGTCCCATATGGGGATTGAACCCACAACCTTGGGGTTATGAGCACTATGCTCTAACCAACTGAAGTATCCAGGCTCCATCCCAGTATCTTGTCTTCAGCTATTACTTAAATCAGATGCAGGGAAGTGGGAGAAATTTGATTCTGTTAGCATTTAAAGGCAAATTTACCAAATTTGCACTCTCTGAAACAAACATGAACTGAAACACAGCTGTTCTTTGACACTTGCACTTCTCTGAATTTTGCAAGGCAGTTCTTCAGCCAAGAAATGCATACAAAAATATATATCCTAGGTTGGATATAGTGTGATAAACTTGCAAATACTAGTGAAATTAACATGCAAAAATGTGTTATATTTGGGAAATTTGTTTTTCAAAAATATGTATGTTAGGACAAACACATATATATTAAGAGAAATTTGCATTAAAATGTTGATGAATTTTCATGAGGACTTAACAAAAATTCCCAAACTAATGCAGAAATATGGAGAATTGAATTTAAGATTGGAAAAATGTGAAACTGAGTGAAATCAAAATTGATAGAATTGCTTATTCCTAATCAGATGCTACAGAGGAAATATCCAAGAAATAGGACAGTTCTGGAAAGATCACCAGTGTTCACTCGCTTGTTCTGATTTTCAGTTTAGTGTAGTTCTCCCCAGTTTTATTTCCATGTTGACTACAGGTCATCAAATAAATGCAAGCTACAATATATAAAACGTTTAACGATGGGACTCATATCTTACGAATGATTACAAATGGCAAGAGGTAGGTCAACTAAAATTAATTGTCATTACAATGATCATGCTAGCCATTCACAACAAAAGCAGCATGAGATTTAGATAATTTGAAGGAATAAATGGCTGGTTATGTAATAGTCCTTAACATCTATTTGCTAATAGAAAGTCTGTCTTTTGAAGATCTGAACAATTTTCCTTATCTGTCAGCAGCTGGGGAAGAAATTTGATTCTAACTGATATGAGAAAGGAGCGTGTCAAAAGATAATGCACAAAATCCTTGGTTTCTCTTGTGCCAAAAAAACATAATCAGGCTTCATATGAAACATGAGAAATTCTCCTTTCCAGAGCAACTGTTGGCATCAGATTAAGCTTTATTGGTTAGGAGCTCTTCTCAGCAGGAAGTAACTAATTTGAATAATATCAACTTCTAGACAATGCTGATTTTTAAACATAGCAATCTATGGTGCAACTGGGTTGCTCCTTGCTTATGCTGTTATCAGGTAGGTTGAAAGTGTTATACACCTTTCACCAGAATTCTGACTTGGCCCAGCATCATACTTAATATCTAATTTTGCTGTATTTTCAGACATCAAGAGACATTCTGATTTTGTCCTTTAGTGGGCACTTGCAGAAAAGATTACACCCATTGGGTTGCTTTTAGAACTCACCCATATAACACCCATTCTGAAACCCCTGCATTGGTTACCAGGTTTGTTTCCAGACCCAATTCAAGATGCTCATATTAGTGTTCAAAGCCCTAAACGGCTTAGGCAACAACAACAACAATAATGATTTATTATTTATACCCCACCCATCTGGCTGGGTTTCCCCAGCCACTCTGGGCGGCTTCCAACAAAATATTTAAAAATACAATAAAACATTAAAAACTTCCATAAACAAAAGTCAGATAGATGTTTATTTCCTTGACATCTGATGGGAGGGTGTTCCACAGGGTGGGCGCCACCACCAAGAAGGCCCTCTGCCAGGTTCTCTGTAACTTCACTTTTCGCAGTGAGGGAACTGCCAGAAGGCCCTCAAAGGTGGACCTCACTGTCCGGGCTGAATGATGGGGGTGGAGATGTTCCTTCAGGTATACTGGGCCAAGGCTGTTTAGGGCTTTAAAGGTCAGCATGAACACTTTGAACTGTGCTCAGAAATGTACTGGGAGCCAAGGTAGGTCTTTCAGGACTGGTGTTATGTTGTTTTGGCAGCCAAGTATCTGAAAGACCACTTCCTTTCCTTCAGATCACCCTGAGGGGACTCACTTGGTACTTACACCTTCCTCAGAGGTTTTCCGTGGGGTGGCTTGGGAGAGAGCATTCTCTGTGGCAGCCCCAAGTTGTGGAATTCTGTCCGCACAGCAAATGCTGAAGGTGCACCTCTTCACACTGCCCTTTGACACCTGAGATATGTATGTAACACTGCAACTGTTTTTAATTCAGATTTTCAAAATTGTTGTAACCCACCCTGAGATCTGCTGGTAAAGGGTGGATAGTAAGAGTAACAGTAGCAGTAATGAAAATATACAATATCTCAGTGACCATCGGCATCAAAGACTGAGTGTACACTGCCTTGGGATCGTAACCGACTCACGCTGTTTAAAAAGTGAACAAATAAAGATCGGTCCACAAGGTAATTGAGCAGATGTAAATTGCCTTAAATCAGTTTCAACTAATTACAGTGGGGCTCCCATCAGTTTAAAGTCTGTCTTAATTGATTTGTGGACTGAGCTATAAGCCTTTTAAATCTCCCACCATAAGGAACCCCTTTCACTGTCACTACTCTTTTTCATTCCTCTTTTTAGTACTTAAAAAAAGTTTCATTATATCTTCTTTAAGATGGTGTGACAAGACCCATAGACTATTCAAATGAATGGATATGTCTCTATTTAGGGGCATTAGGCATATTAAATGCACAATGTTTGGTTTCTTAATCACCCTACCTTTCTGATGACATCCCCCTCCCAGTTTTTCCAGTTTCGCAATGGCTCCAGAACCACTTCCGGATTTCTACTCGCAAATTAAAAACACACCTGGTTAAGGCAGCATGTCTAATGTGTATTAACACACATATATCAACAGCTAAATCCTTAAGTGCTGGATCTCACTGTCTCAAATAATATCAAACCCAGAGACATTTAAAAACTGTATGTACATAAAACTGTTGTGGACACACTTGCATGATTCTTGATTTGGTACTTTTCAGCCCTTTAAGCAACACAGCCCCATTCTTAAAATAGGGGAGTGGGGCAGGGAGCACTGGCACATGACTGACTGTCATCCCATTGAGTTGAGGATCATTTGAGAAGCATGCCCCCCAATTTTCAAGTTTCTGCCTAGATTAGGCTTCCAAATTCAACATGGCTGTCAGGCCACTTCTGACCTCATTTATCAATCGGCTGAGTAATGTTCTGCTGATGGGAGAGAAAAGAAAAGAGAGAGAGCGTAAGTGGAGACGGAGTGTCTCTGAAAACTGAGAGGAGGGCAGGGGGTGGAGAGCAATGGAGACATCTGACCTGGACACTGGGACAGCAGATAAATTAGAAAGAGCATAACCCCACGGAGATGCATGCTCCGGCTCATGCAGCAGGCATTAAGGATGAAATATTTTCAGAGTAACAATTCACCTCTAACTGGAAGGACAGGGACTCGCTGACATTTTGGGCAACGAACACAGCCTGCTGGTGCTCCTCTTGGAGGGATGAGAAGTGAGGAGCAAAAGCAAAAGCAGAAGGATTTATGCAATCCCACTTCCTAAGTTCCAGGCTACACTTACCTTGTTGGTTTAACTCATTTAATAGAGTTGTAGGACTGAGAAGGACCAAAGTAAGAGAAGGACCTGGAACTAAGGACCAAAACGAACACGATGTTGATTAGATCTCCTCATTTAAAAATAAATAAAAAATAAAGCCATTGTGGGGCTCTCTGATTTAGATTGGAACAAGATTTCTGGGAGGTGGGGGTATTTTAAGCCAATTCTGCCTGCAGCGTTTCCCCATTCAAGATCATGCAAACAAGGATTGAAAGGTGATATTACCCCTGCTGGGAGGAAAGACTGCATTGTTTCTGACTCTTTTTTTAGGGAAAGGATTAAGCATATCCCTCCACCTCCCTACAGTGACTCTGCTCTGTTCAGAATGGGAGCTCCTGCCAATTGAGAAGGTCAAAAGAGCCAATCACCATTCTCTCATAGCATGTCTGTTTGGACCTTCTTATTAAACGAATATAAATAGGACATACTTTCACGAAAATTCATTTCAGTTCAATTCTAACCACAGAGACTCCCAGCTCTGCAGCCCCAGTCATGGAAGTGTTTGCTGTGGTGAGGAAGAAGGATGTTTCATTGACTTTGGAGAGGCCATTGAGGAGGATTGTGGACACAATCCTTTACCCCGGAGTTTGCGCAGTCAAGGCTGGTTTAATCAGGCAACTGAGCAGAGTTGGATAGTTCCTCTGTTACTTCCCCAAGAACTTCAGCTGCAGTAGCACAAACCTTACAGCCAGTTTGTTTGCATGCTGCCTTTACCACAAAGACATTGCACTCAAAGTGGTTTACAGAAAATGAATAAATATGATAATAGTACAGTAGCCATAATATGTAATAAAATTATAATATTGAAACAACAACAACAACAACTTATTATTTCTACCCCGCCTAACTGGCTGGGTTTCCCCAGCCACTCTGGGTGGCTTTCAACAGAACATTAAAAACAGAATAAAACATCAAGCATTAAAAATTTCCCTAAATGGGGATGCCTTCAGATGTTTTCTAAAAGTCGGATAGTTGTTTATTTCCTTGACATCTGACAGGAAGGCATTCCATAGGGAAGGGGCCACTACCGAGAAGGCCCTCTGTCTGGTTCCCTGTAAACCTCACTTCTCGCAGTGAGGGAACCGCCAGATGGCCCTCAGTGCTGGACCTCAGTGTCCGGGCTGAACAATGGGGGAGGAGGCGCTCCTTCAGGTATACTAGGCCAAGGCTGTTTATGGCTTTAAAGGTCAGCACCAACACTTTGAATTGTGCTCGGAGATGTTATATATCACTGCAATATATATCACTGCAGTACATATTTGAATAAAACTTGGCAATATGCCATTTAACAATATCCAGTATTGAACAATATACAGTACCCATAACCAATGTGGGATTGTTCCATCAAAATAATGGATTTGAAAGATATGGGTCATCTAGTCCAACCACCCCATTCGATGGTAGGACATGCCATTTCCAAATATTTCTAAAATATTAGTTCAGATTTATGCATTTAATTTATGGATTCATTTATTTAATTTATGAATTGCCTCCTATGAAAATATCTCAAAGTGATTAACAGATAGC